TGTTAGACATCAGATAACCTAAGATTTTTCTATCAATTTTTAAGTCATATGGGTAAACTAATTAAAAAATTTTAGACTATGTCAATCAAGAATGCATTCGAGAGACAGTCACAGTTTTACTTCAACACCGATTACCGACCACCAATTATTTGTTATTATTTTCAGTTTCAGCTACGGTACAGCAGAATATTGCCAAGATAATTAAACAAATCTAGAAGTTCAACAAATTTTTTTTCTTCTTAATCGTTACGCTAAATTTTTTAACTTTTTTCTGTGCCCGTGACAGACTTTTAATTATGGACAGACTAGGTTGCATCAGCAATTTGATATAAGTTTCTGAGCGTAAAAAGTAGTAGGCTACAAGTAAGAAATTTTTTTTTTATTTTACACGAACGTTGGAATTCGTAAGCATCATCAAACGATACTGCAATTTGAGAAAAAAAAAAAAGTTTATTACGGATCTGAAAAAAAATATGGAAAATAACAACAATCTAAAAAATTATACAGAACTCTCAAGAATATTTGAATTCAGCAATCATCAAACAGTGAAAATACTCTTTAAAAAAATCTGTAAATTAATCTATTATTGGAATATTCAATAAAAAGCTAATTTCTGAAATTTATCTAACAGTCATATTAGAAGACTGTATTTCAAAGTATATCATATTTGTCTGAAACACTTTAGAAAGCTTTCCTTTCTTTTATTTTATAAGACAAGTTGATATCGATACCGAAATGTTAATTTTAGCGACCTCTAAACTGAAAAATGGAATTGTAATAAGTGATAAGCTGTAAATAACAAAACAGTAAGAGAAAAAATATCAAAAACAAGTCTCGGAGAGATTACAATTGTCCTCAATTGATCAAAAATGTTTACTGAAAAAAATTTGTTGAGTAAATAACTGAAGTGTCACAGAGAATCAGTGGTATATTTTGCCTGCAAAAATATTTGTTCTTTGAAAATAGACAAGAAATAATTTTAAAATATACAGTAAAAAATTACCATGATATATTTCCGGATTGCTATTCCAAAAGTAAATCTTACCAATACTTGAAAATTAATATTTGTTTGTGTGTTATTTTTTTTATTTGAACCTTGTCAATATAACAGAATTGCACTTAAATGCATATTTACTTCAACTACTTGACCGAGATCTACGAAATCAAAAATTTTTGTGTGCTTTTGAAGTGAACGGTAAACTAGGAAAGTTCAGTGTGACAATAAAACTTAGTTTTGACTGCTAATAAAAAATTACCAACAACCTCTGAAAAAGGCCTTGGAAGTAAGTTTCAATTCACATGGGTATAAGGTCAACGAAATGCATAAATAAGCTATAACTCCTAAAAAAATTTGTTGTTGTTGAACGATATATTTTGAAGAACAACTTAAATTTTATAAATTATATGCCCCTCTCCTTATATTCAATTTATTACTACTTCCCTGTCACGAAAATGTATTCTGCACATACAGTCAATAATAGTTTAACTTCGCCACACTAACACTTCATCTGTACAGTGATTCATCGTCAAAAAAGAAAAAAAATTCTTAATTTGAGATCAACGATAAGAAAAGGCAAGCAACAACAAATATGTAATGTTCTCTGTTAACTACATTAACCACATTCAAATATGTTTATGAAAATATTGTCAAATAGGAGAGAAAAAAAATCAACTCTAGATATTTGTCAGTTTTTGTCACTGATAATAGTTTATAATCTTTTGCAAAAAAAAAGAATTTCGTTCTTCATTCAAAAATTGATGAAACCAAATGTATTGGGGGAAAAAAGTGTTATTTGTTTTCGACAATAACGTTCTGTTTTCAGAATGGGAAAAAAGACCCGTGAACAAACACAGCAACAGAATATTGTCAAAGACAATTTTACAGAAATAACTGTTCCTAATTATCGTATTGTTAGAGCCTAAAATTTTGGTTATATTTTTGCTATTTTTCAATATTCATAAAACAATTAAAATAAATGAAAAGAAGAATAGGAAGGTAAGAGAGAGAGAGAGAAAAAACAACTGTTTAATATGTAACAACTGCAGTTCAACAGAACTGATATAAACTGATGAATTATAATCGCAAAATGCCTCAAAGAGAGCAGTATCAAAATTAGCTGAAAAAAAAAAAAGTGGAATTTTATTTAGCAGTAAAGCAAATTAAACGTTCAAAAAAATCTAACCTATTTCTTAGAAGAATGCATCATAAAATACCATGTTTTTTGTTC